CCCAGGATGTAGTGCAATGGCGCTATATCAGCTCTCTGCAACCTCCACCTCCCGGGTTCAAACAATTCTCCTGCCTCAGCCTCCCCAAGTAGCTGGGGTTACAGGCATGTGCCACACACCTAGCTAATTTTGTATTTTTAATAGAGACAGGATTTCTCCATGTTGGTCAGACTGGTCTCAAACTCCCAATCTCAGGCGATCCTCCCGCCTTGGCCTCCCAAAGTGCTGGGATTATAGGCATGAGCCATCGGGCCAGGCAAGAGTGCATTTTTATCTAGAATCTAGGTTCTATGGCAGCATTTTTCAAAATATCCTCTCCATCCTCCTTGCCAAAGACCATGGGAACCCACCTCTTGCATCAGCCTGACCTAGATGTGAGACTGGGAGTTGAAGGGGATAATTTTGGAGCTTTAAAATTTGACTGCCCTTTGCATGGGTCCTGTAACCCCTTTGTTTTGGCCAATTTCTCCCATTTGGAATGGCTGTATTTACCCAATACCTGTACCCCATTGTATCTAGCAAGTAGCTAGCTTGCTTTTGATTTTATAGGCTCATAGGCTGAAGGGACTTGCCTTGTCTCAGATGAGACTTTGGATTGTACACTTTTGGGTTAATGCTAAAATGAGTTAAGACTTTGGGGGACTGTTGAGGAGGCATGATTGGTTTTTAAATATGAGAAAATGAGAATTGGAGGGGCCAGGGCAGAATGATATAGTTTGACTATGTCCTCACCCAAATCTCAACTTGAATTTTGTCTCCAAGAATTTCAACATATTGTGGGAGAGACCCAGGGGGAGGTAATTGAATCATGGGGCTGATCTTTCCTGTGCTATTCTCATGATAGTGAATTAAGTCTCACAAGATCTGATGGGTTTATCAGGGGTTTCCCAACTTTGCTTCTTCATTTTCTCTTGCCGCCATGTTACGAAGTGCCTTTGCCTCCTGCCATGATTCTGAGACCTCCCCAGCCATGTGGAACTGTAAGTCCAATTAATACTCTTTTTCTTCTCAGTCTCGGGTATGTCTTCATCTAATATACTCCTGGAGGCGTTGGAGATGGTTTTAGGTAGTCCCCACATGCACTTCAAAAGTCTGTAAATATTAAATTAAACAAGTTTATATCTGAGGGTAGTTAGCACTACATTCAGCAAGTTCAGACCTCATTGCTAGGAAGAAAAGTCATAAAGAAGGAAGAAGTTTGTTGAGAAGAAATGAAAGAGAACAGAAGCTCATAACATTATGCCATTAGGCAATATTATATGGTAGTTATTAGAGTAGGAACTTGGGAGCCAAACTGCCTGAGTTCAAATCCTGACTCTCATAGTGACTAGTTGTGTTATTTGTGGCATGTTTCCTAACCTCACTGTGTCAATTTTTATAATGGCACTTCTACAAGGATGCTGTGGGAATTAAAATGATTATCACAGGGCTTGGCATATAATGTCTTCTCAATAAATGTAAGCAATTACTGTTTCTGGGAAACCTTTAGCAAAGAAGCGATTCACTAGCTGTATATAGCCACAGTTTGTTGAAAGCTTACTCTTGCATCAGGAACTGTACACATAGGACCTAATTTTACCCATGAGGAAGCTAAGGCATAGAAAGTTTCAGTGCCTTTACCAACGTTATACCACGAATTCTTGCTCCACTTAGAATTCAGACTCGGATTGATTGGGTTCCAAAGCCATGATACTAAGGATCAAAGTGAAGGCTTGCAAGATTTCATAAGCCTCCTCTTGAATATTCTCTCAAGTTCCTGGCTCATAGCATGTACCAGCAAACTCATTAAAACTAAAATGGTCTGTTTGGGAGTGAAGGATGGGAGACATTGAGAGCAACAGCAGAAAGGGCGTGGGGAGTCTTGGGAAATGCAAGGGTGCTCAGGTTGGGACCTGTGGCAATGAATGCGAGGGCAAGGGAAACTGGCTCACTAGAACTTAAAAATGCCTCTTGGTGATTTACACGAAAAGTGGTCTCTCAAGTTTTTCTATTATTCAGTGGTTCTAAAATACTGTTCCACTGTAAACTACAACATTAATCTTATGATTCTACAATTATACTTTCTAAATGATCACTTATTTGATGGTTTTGAAGTATAGAAAGTGTTTGGTCATTTAAATTATTTCCTTCCATGGAGTGCGTATCACTGAAAGACAAGCAATCTTTGCCTTTATTGCAGATACTTCAATAAAAATGTCAACATGTTGGCAAATTGGCATCCTTTGGCTTTGCCAATACGTGGAAAAGTAACTTTTTCGATGGAAACGTTCCCTCTTTTTAGGGCCGAAAAGACATTCGCAACTACACTTAAGTATCCCAAACAGCTTTATTCATTCGAAAAATCAGAGCGGGTTCAAAGCACAAATCCATGAATTGGGCGGCGAACTCTGACTCAAGAGATTACAGCTGCACTGCGTTTGGAGAGACTGAACCCGCGCCGGTGCTCCCGTCTGCTTGGGCATGTCTGAGTACCACAGCTCGAACCCGCCACTTTTGCTGCCCGTGCAGGCTTGTAGGGACGCAGCAACTGTGTCCCGAGGGCTGATGAGTCAGCTAGCTGTGCCCGCGGCTTCTGGCAGCCTCCGTAGGCTCCCGCTGGGCCCGGCCCGCTCTGCGGGGATCTTCTCTGACTCGGTCCAGTCCGCCTACAGGAGGGAGCCACCGGCCGCCGGGCCTTCAGCCAAGCTCTACCATCTCTGCCAGCCACCGCCTCGGCCATCTTCCTGCGCAGAGTGAGACAAAATCCGGCTCTAACCAGCCTTCCAGCTGACGCCTCTCTGCCCGAGCTCTGTTGCCTCGGAGCAGGACAGCAGGACGCCGGAGAAGAGACGCTGGAGGTAGGCGCTCGCGGGCACCCCAACCGCTCTCTCCCCGACGCATGCGCCCATGGGCAGTCAGCGCGGGTCCCGTCTCCGGTGACGTAGCGGTGCGGAGGCGGAGCCAAGGTCGGTGGCGGGAGGGTGGGGGAGGAAGAGCGAGGTGAGCGAGGACGTCAGAGTGGAGAGCGGAAGGTCAGGGAGGCTCGGAGCGGAAGTGAGACTAGGGAGTCTGTCCGCCATTGTGGACCCGAGAAGCGGAGAGCGAGAGGGGGAAGAGGAGCGTGCAAGCGGAAAAGACGGGCCTCTTCCTCCGACTCCCGAGCGCGAGGCCCTCATTTTGGGCTCTCAGCGAGCGGCGGCAGCGGCGGCGGCTGGAACAATCACTCGGCCAAGGGCGACAGCCAACTGCTGTGAGTGCACGGGGAGAGGCCCAGGCAGCGGCGGCGGCGGCTCTCGGGTTGCGGTGAAGAATGTCAGCCACTAGCGTGGATCAGGTGAGGGAGCAGAGGCCGCAGGCTCGGCGAAGGCCCGAGCCCCGGAACTCCACCCTCGCGCGGGGCTTCGGCTCCTCCCCGTCGCCGCCGCTGCCGGCCCCATAACGGTGCCCCGGCGCAAGTTGCCGCGGTGCAGCTGCCTGGGCCGGGGCGTGCGCCCTGGCCCCGAAGCCTGCGGGCGGGCGGGCGCGGTGCCGCGGTGTGTGGGAGCAAGGACCGCTCTTAGGGGCCTTAGGACACATCCTGAGGGCGACAGACATGGGGCTGAGAGCGGTCGAGCTCTGGGAGACGGATTTCGAGTGGCGGGTGGGAGGTTTAAAGGCTGGGGGTGGTTGGGAAATTGGTGGCTGTGGAGGATATGGTGGGTTTTTACTCCTACGCGGATAGTCTAAAATAACTTGTCTTTGATAATGTTTTTGATTAACACTCTTTCTCTCTTCCTTTTTCTCTTTTTTACCGCATCTTTCGTCTTGCTACACAGAGACCTAAAGGGCAAGGAAATAAGGGTGAGTTTGGAATTTTTTTTTCTTACTGCTCAATGTTGCCTTGATGTAACTTTTAAACTCTGTGAGGGCTTTTTGTTTGTTTTTGCTCCCTCTTGGGAAAAAATGTAGGATTAGAGACAATACTCATGGCTAAGGTAGCCAAGTTGTATCTAGGACTTTGGTAGTTCGCTCCTTTGAAGCCACTTTATAGAAACTAAAGTAGTACAAGAAATAGTTTTCTTAGGTGTGTGTCAGTTGAGCAGGTATTGGTGTGAACCTAGTGATATTTCTTCAGTTTTCCAGTTTATCTGTGTTATGTAACTAATGCCACAAAAATTTCCACATATATATGTAGACAAGTGGCTTCTTAAAGTGGACATTTTGTTTGACATGTCTGGGTTACACTGGAAAATGGAACTATACATAATATTCCATCACATGAATGAAAATTGTACTATTAATCACTGATTCTATTCAAGTCAGTTGTAATGAGGCAACAACATGAGAGAAATTAGAAGTAAGTAGGTATGCCATCTTGCTGTGTAGTCCTGATTGCAAGGTGTGACTCAAGATAGTATTTTATAAAGGACTGAGAAGAAAATAATTTGTGACATTTCTTCCAAGATTTTATGATTTGTGAATGTACCATTGAAAACAAAGTGTTTTTTTAAAAGTGTGTTTTGTATTTATTAATATGGAACAGTGCAGTCAGCTGACTGAAACATTATGACATTAGTCATGTGACATTTAGTTAAGTATAGAACAATAACTGCTTTCTTGGGATAGTGCCAATTAAATAACATCAGAGCAAATTATATATTTATAACATTTTGTAATGCTTGAAATTACACTAGAATTGCGCTTTCTGTTGATTTCAGTAACACAGTGTTAGAAATTAAGATCTGTAATAGCCTTTTAGCTGTAGATTGTCTTTGGTGCCCTTAAATTCTTGTTAGGGTATTTATTTGCTATTGCAAATTTGGTTAATTTAAAATAATAAGTTTTGGATATGTAGATTAGTTAATTTCCTTTGAATTGTAGAATTTGTACATACTAGCTACATAGCACCATATTAGGTAACAAATTTATTGTTTTGTTTTTATTAAAAATATTTTCTTGCAGTATATAAACATTTAGACATTTTAATTTTTTAACATTTCATTTCTAGAATTTTTTTGTGTGTTGTAAGCGTTAACCTGAAATAAAATTGGATATTGATTTATTTTAAATGTTTTTAAAAATTTGAATTTTAAAAAGAATGATCCATTAATTTCTTTTTTTGATAGTCTACCCATTAGAAAGTATATAGACTTGGAGATGTGAAATTGTGGTCGTTATTGCCTAGCATAAATTACTTTATCCTAGATCTGTGGGGAGGTGGCACTTTGCAAGGCTATTTGAAATGCTAAATGTTTTGTATTACCCGCTTTAAGGTAAGTACACAAGTTCTATGAAGTACTTAACTGGTTTGATAAAACAAAATAGAGCCTCTACAGCATTGTGAGTAAAAGTTTGATTTATGAGTGGTCATTTCACTTAGGTAGGCACTGGTGGCATCTTTGATGTTAGATTTGTCTATAAACTACATACCACTGTTTGTAAATAAGTATTTTTGGGTTACTTAAAAATTTTTTTTCCATCAGTATCACTTCTGTTAGGTGTATTCAGACACATACACAAAGTGTTTATTTTGATAGTTCTTTATTCTTAGAAATTCTTTCTTTCCTCCTTATTGTTCAGTAATTTCATCCGAAGTTAGAATGATGAATTGGGATTTCTTAGAGTCCTGAGTTCTAATACTGCTTTTGGCTACTGACTTGCCAAGTGAGCTTGTGAACATTGTACTTCTTCGTCAGAATCTCCCCTCTATAAAATGAAAGTAATAAGTCTAGTCATTCCTATGGTGTGTTGTGAGGATTCTTGTAATTACAATAGTTCATCTCTCTGGTAGCAATTATATTTGCTGGATATCTTTTCACCTTCCACACTTACTCTATTTTTAAGGTGCAGGAAAGCTCCCTTGCATAGAGCCTTGGCAGGAGGGGAAAACTGCTACTGACCTGAAAATATAGCTAATTATTTAAGTTCCTTAAAAATGGCAGATGTGCACAAAGACACATATACATTACTTGAATTTTTATGCCTCTGCAGGGAGAATTACAAGGCAAAAGCAACACCACCAGTGAACCTGATATAAGTAGCTATGTGTGTATTTGAGAAAAACTATTCTGCCTTAGATTGATTCTAGCTAGTAAAATTATTTTACAATTCTGTTTACTTTTATGAAGTTATTTTTCTTGGACTACAAGCTCAGTATTCTAAATATGAGTAATCTTGAATTCAGAACTTATCAAGCTTACGAAAACTAGTATGTCCTTGAGAAGTTGGTGTCAAAGTTTTGAACAAATAATCCTTTTCAGTCAACTTACTCTAATTTCAGAGATTCTGTGTTTCTTTTCTGAATTGTTTCTAGTTGGTAGCATTAGCCTAACACCTAGTTTGAGTGTCTCTGATTTTCTTTATATCCTTGATGACTTAATTCATTACAGAAGGCAAATGGGATTCTAAATAAGTGTCTTTGATAAGGCAAAAATGTTTTTGTAGAATAAGTAATAATTCTAGGTTTGTTTTATGAATTCACATTCTTTATTAATTGATTGTCCTTATGTTAAATATCAGAACTCCTTATTATCCATGGCAAGAGTAGTACGAAAGGATAGTAGAAATTTAAGGAGATTTATTTGTCTTTTGGTTCAAAATTTTAACACTGACTTCATTTTTTTTTTTTTTTATTAACAAGTAGAATTTTTGCTTAGTGAAGTAAAGGTGTGCTGTACTTTTACTTGTGAGTACTATGGATGGAAGTGTCAGATACCATACTTGTAGTCTTAGGGCTTACTGCCTCCTTTCTCGTCTTCCTTAGTTTATAAATAGCAAACTCGTGGAACAGGATTTGTTTTTCCTCCTCTCAACTCTCTTCCAACAGAGAGGCATGTGCATTGTTTTATACAACTATATAGGTTAAATTTGGCCAAGTTTTAATTTTCAGAAAAGTAGTGGAAAATGCCTTGTATATTTTGGCAAGATTCTGTTGTATTCTTTCCTCATCCTCCCGAGAAATGATTTCAAAGCACTTTACTTTCATTATTTTAGGCTTCATTTTATCCTCACAACATTCTTGTAAGGAGATAGAGGGTATATGGTATTGTCACTGTTTTTGTAGGTGGGGAAACATGATGCACAGATCTGTTGACTTTCCTAACTTGATGTAGTCAGGACCAGAGCAAAGAATCACCTGGCTCCTAAGGCCCATGTTCTATCTTGATTTGACTCTGTTTCATAGAGCAGAGGAAACAGGCGAAGAATCATGTAAGTCATCTGTTCCTTTTTCCCTGAAGAACTTTTACAGACTATGGAACTAGCTTGGATTTCATTTCTATTTAATGGATTTTAGACTTCAAGATGTTAGCTTGTCGTTAAGTAATATTCAAAAGCTAACGTCTTTAAGACAGTTTTTTTAAAGATACACTTGCGAAACTTATAAGGGCTAATGACTATTTTATTTGGAGTTTAATGCAAATTGGTTGTCAGTATATGTGAAGTACTTTTAATTAAACATTTTTTAATTTAAGTAAATTGACTTGTACTCTTAAGACTTTGTAGACATTTATGCATCATTTAAAAATGACTGTGGACTGTATTTATAATAGTGTATAAGTTGTTCTCAGGCCCAGCCTCTTAGAAGAGAAAGAATAGAACAGAAGAAATAAGTAAGAATAACAGTATAATATATATTCAGATAAATTTTAAGTAAGTACTTTTTTTTTTTTTTTTTTTTTTTTTTGTAAATAAGAGACAGGGCCTTGCTCTATAGCCCGGGCTGGTGTGCAGCGGCATAATCATAGCTCAGTGTAACCTGGAATGCATGGGCTTAAGTGATCCTTCTTAGACTCCTGAGTAATTAGGACTGCAGGCACATGACACCATACCTGGCTAGTTTCTAAACATTTTTCGTAGAGGTGGGATCTCCCTTTTTTTCCCAGGCCTGGCCTTGAGCTCCTGGCCTGGCCTGTTTTGTATTTGTATGAACTAGATTTTTGAGAACCTGGTGGATACGAGAGATAGTCATAATTTTTAAATTGCTAGCTGTTTCAAACATTGACTAGATGTACAAGTGTAATATTGAAGAATTTTTTTCAAGAAGTAATAGACCATGCATGAACTACCTTTGATGTAGGAGCAGTAAAGCCAGTGTCAGAGGAACAGGTATGTCAGAATCTCTTGGTCTGAAATGATTAACCAAGCCTTAAAATGGCACTAGAAGTAACAACCTAAGGCACCCTCTTTATTTTGGTTTCTAGTGGCTATTACATATTTAAATTCCGTGTAGCACATTTAGCTGAACCCTAGTTCTGATGCAGTCCTTATCAGACGTAAATTACCTTAATGGAGCCAGGATCAAGTTGACCTTCAGGTTGCTCTTGTGGCTTCTGAGGGGCAACGTGGTATAAGAAGTCTACTTTGAAGGCTTCACACAGTAGTAGTATATCTTTGAGTGTTCTTTGCTACCTATTGGATGGCAGAATATTAAGGGATTTTGCATATATTTGCTCCCAAGCCACTGTTAACTCATACTACATTTTAGGTGCTCTACACTCATGGGAAAATTTAGGGATAATAGAAATGTTACGATATTACAGAGGCATACAACTTAAACCCATCACCCCCCCCAACTTCATAAAATTTGGTGATGTTTTATCATCTTTGAGCAGTAAATCTGTAGATAGTGAGTTCTTGGTTTCTAATTTGTGGACCGCCATATAAAATAGTGTATTTACATAGTGCCACCTCATCAAATATTAGTCTAGTAACACTTCTGTTTAAATGGATCAAAAGTCATTTTTAGTCCTATTTGGATCTTGTAATACATAATGGGATAATATCTAAGATTATTTAGCGCTGCCATTTAATATTCAGATGAGATGAGATAGGCACGATTAATAATCTTCTGGAACAGAGAAACAGTCAAGGGTTAGAAAGCTTAAATCCCTAACTGGAGATCATCTCCTCAGTGGTGGACTTGAGATACAAATTCAGCACCTTACTTCTGGAGTCTGCTCAGAAGCACTGTGAAACAGCATCCAGAGAGTAACAACTTTAAAGTGTTTATGGAGAAGACCTTTGAACAAAATTATTCTCTGACTTGTTTTCTCATGTGTTGCAAAAATAACTATGTAAATCTTTTGTGTCTTAATTTTATTTATAGTTTCATGTGAAAGTCTTCATTTTTGGGGGGTTAGAATTAAAGCCCTATTTAGATATTTCATAATTGTAAGTCTGTTCATTGTGAATTGTTTCAAGTTAATTATAGCCTAAACTGTACTGGAGACATTTAAGATGCTTATTGTAACATTAGATCAAAATAGTTATTTCACTATTTATTAGATTAAATAATTTGGAGATTTAAACAAAGGTAGAGAACATTCAGAAATCTTTTTTATTGCCTACAACACTACTTGAATTAGTTATTTTAGATTCGAATATAGCATTAGGGAACTCTTTCCAACATCCTTATGTAAGAGTTTACTCACTATAGAGTTGAAATTGGGATATTTACTTAAAGTTTTTGATAAGAGGAAGTGTATGTATGGCTTGTGTTTATGTGATCTTGGGCTTATATATCAAAAGACTTCTAAGTTTTTGTGGCACATAAATATTTGTATCTAAAATAGAGTTTATCCTTAAGAGGGTCCTTAAAAAGAAAGTAACTCAGTATTATTTTTCTGATTTTTTTTTTTTTTGGCTTGAAAAATACTAAAAACATTAGTTTGCACTGTGAGTTTCATAAAGATAACTGTAACATTTCTAATACAAACATATTTTTTAGTTTCAGTACAAAACGGTTCGATTCATCAAAAAGATGCTGTAAATGATGATGATTTTGAGCCATACTTAAGTAGCCAGACAAATCAGGTAAGTCTTCTGACAGTTTCAGATTTTAGGAAATTAATCTTATGAGTATTAATTGATTTTTCAAATAGATTATTTAATGAGATTCACCACAACATGTATTAATTCTTGTGTATCTGCATAGCAGTGAGTAGTGAGTAGCGGTTGCAAGTTTATGGCACAGCAGAGTTCTCCTTCAGAAAGTATAGGCACCTGAAACTAGGTTATGAGATAGAAAATAAAGATTTGCAGGTGACGATTATGTGTATTTATTATGGTTAGATTTTGTGTACGTGTGTTGAAGGAATTTAATTTTTTAATGTCACTGCTATGTCTTCATAGCGTAAGCTAATTAAAAGGCTTAATTAGCTAGAAATTTGTATATTTGGAGGGGAGATTAGTTGCCTGAAATTGCCTGCAATTTGGGGTCAAATGTATTTTCTTTACGATATTCCAGTTTGAATTCATTGGTAATTATTGAAAGTTTTAACATACCTTGGTGATGTTAGGAATGTAATTAAGGACTTTATAAACATACTTGCTTTATAAATACAGTTGCATCTGTATTGTAGACATGGACAATTTTATCAAATCAAATAACTGGTGGCCTTGCGTATTTGTGTACAAGAATAATTTCAATTTAAACATCAAAGAACAGCGGTATTAAGTATCTGTATGCCATTTCTGCATCCATTTCTGCCTGTTATTAAAAATACGCCACTGGTAGAAATAAATTTAAAAAATGAATTTTTCAGTATTAACCAGTTTTTTAGGGAGAACATTCTGTAATGAAATTGTTTTTGTTTTGCTTTTAAAAAGCAAAAAATGCTCAAGAACTTCAGGTCTTAAAATCAGTTCTGTAGTTCTTTGGAGTAATTTTATGACTAATTTGACTGGAAAATTCAGATTTTTTTTTTTTTTTTTTTTTTTTTTTTTTTTTTGGGGGCGGTTTTTCGCTCTTGTTACCCAGGCTGGAGTGCAATGGCGCAATCTCGGCTCACCGCAACCTCCGCCTCCTGGGTTCAGGCAATTCTCCTGCCTCAGCCTCCTGAGTAGCTGGGATTACAGGCACGCGCCACCATGCCCAGCTAATTTTTTGTAGTTTTAGTAGAGACGGGGTTTCACCATGTTGATCAGGATGGTCTCGATCTCTTGACCTCGTGATCCACCCGCCTCGGCCTCCCAAAGTGCTGGGATTACAGGCTTGAGCCACCGCGCCCGGCCCGGAAAATTCAGATTTAAAAAAAAATTTTTGATGCCGGGCATGGTGGCTCACATCTGTAATCTCAGCACTTTGGGAGGCTGAGGCAGGCGGATCACCTGAGGTCAGGAGTTTGAGACCAGCCTGACCAAAATGGTGAAAACCCGTCTTTAAAAAAAAAATTTTTTTTTGAGACAGAGTCTTGTTTTGTTGCCCAGGCTGGAGTGCAGTGGCATGGTCTCGGTTCATTCTAACCTCTGCCTCCTGGGCTTAAATGATTCTTCTGCCTCTGCCTTTCAAGTAGTTGGGATTACAGGCACATGTCACCACGCCTGGCTAATTTTTGTATTTTTGGTAGAGATGGAGTTTCACCATGTTGGCCAGGCTAGTCTTGAACTCCTGACCTCAAGTAAATTTGTTAAGATCATAAAAGTTTTTTTCTGCCGGGCACGGTAATCCCAGCACTTAGGGAGGCTCAGGTGGGCGGATCACCTGAGGTCAGGAGTTCGAGACCCGCCTGGCCAACATGGAGAAACGGGGGTCTCTACTAAAAATACAAAAACTTAGCTGGGCATGGTGGCGCGTGCCTGTAATCCCAGCTACTCAGGAGGCTGAGGCAGGAGAATTGCCTGAACCCAGGAGGCGGAGGTTGCGGTGAGCCGAGATCGCGCCATTGCACTCCAGCCTGGGTAACAAGAGCGAAACTCCTTCATCCCCCTGAGTAAAAAAAAAAAAAAAAGAAGTTATTGATAGATTTAAAGTTATGTAACTAGTAAAGTCCTTGTACACTGACATGGGTGAAATAATTAACTTTTTAAAATTTCAACTATGTACACAGTATGTTTTTAAAATTAAATTCATTTATCTGATTTTACAATTATAAATAATAAAAATCTTTTCATGGAAAAGGTGTTTAATGTCTTTGGCTACTGATTTAAATTGTTTTGTATACTTAGATCTAGTTCGTATGAGACCCAAGGATACTTTAAAACAAGTTGTTTGCCTTTCTGCTTCTGTGACAGCATATTTCTTCTTTTTTATGGTGTTCATTATTTGAGGGAATGTTTATTGTAATTTTGAAAGTAAATGTCAGTCCTTAATTCTTAAAATTCGTTCTTTATAGTTCTTCAGAATAATTTTATGACTAAATTGATTGGAAAATTTAGCTTTTAATTGGGACTGTTAAGCATACCATGTAATTTGTGCATATAAATTTGAAAAATAATTTGGAAAACTAAGTTGAGTTTGTCTGCTTGTGTGTTTGGGAACGTAGGTTCTTAGCTATCTTTATGAGAGAAAATTAAATTGTCATTTTTCTGCCCTTGTCATCACTGCCCTTAGTTAAGGTATTCTGCCTATTCAAATGATTTTTTTTTTAATTTTTTATTTTGGCCTATCAGTTTATAAGCTTGGGCAAGATTCAAATGATTTTCTAACTAGTAATTCTGTACTGCCACTAAGCAGTCTTAAAATCCAAGTCTGATTGTGTCACTCTAATATTAAAGAATTACTATGGCATCTCAACAGTGGATGCATTTATTATAAAAATGTCCTTAAAGTGGTTCAGCTTCCCTTTCTAGCCCATGTTTTGCCAACTTTCTCCATCTGATTGGCAAAATAGAACTTAGGATTATTTTATGAAAATGTAACTATTTATTTCTTTTATGATCTCAATTTTTGTATGTATGTCTTACACAAACACGTGTACACATCCTAGGCACTTCCTTCAGGAAGTCTTCTCTGATTTTCCAGTTACTTACTCCCTCTTCTTTGTACATAAGAAGTGTTTTGTTTTGCTTCCTTTGTCCTTCAGGTAGAGTAGCTATCACATTATAGGATAAGTAAGTCTTCCTTACTATACCTGTGAAGTGCTCCCAGTTGGAGACCATGTTCTTTTTTTTTTTTGTCTCCAGTAACCAGCAGAGTATCTGGCACATATAACATTCATTATTTATTTATTAAGTGGATGGATGGATTAGATTATCTAATAGAATTAGAGAATGAAGAATTATGGTTGGTGAAATACTGAGATTGAATATTATTATGACATTTTTCTTATGACATTCTTATGATTAGATATGCATAAATTATGCTTTTTGAAAGTTATAATAGGAGAAAGTACATAGCATAATGCAAACATTAATATTAGTGAACATTTCTTAACTTTTTGTTGTTAAGTCAGAAGTCACTTCAGGAGTTTGAAGCACTTCAATTTTTGTTTGTTTGTTTATGTGTGGTTTTTGTTGTTACTGTTTTTTAAGAGAAGAGGGTCTTGCTCTATAGCCCACATTAGAGTGCTATAGTGTGATCATAGTTCACTGCAGCCTTGAACTCCTGGGCTCAAGTGATCCTCCCACTTCACCTCCCAAATAACTGAGACTGCAGGCATGCATCACCATCCCTGGCTAATTTTTTTTTTTTTTTATAAGATAGTTTCTGGTGCGCTGGTCTCAAACTCCTGGACCCAATTGATACTCCTTTTCCAGCCTCCAGAGTAGCTGGGATTACAAGCGCAAACCACTGTGCCTGGCTTTAAGCTAACAGCTTTTAAAAGAGTTGTTAAAAGAAAAAAACCCAAATATGTGACAGAGACTGAACATGTCTTGATTTATTTCTTGGCCTCTTAGTTTGCTAATCCATGAAGTACACTATGGATGTAGACAAATTAAGAACTTGATGTGTAACTCGATGTGTAAGCATTTGTCATGGTGAAATAAGAATATTCAGTATAGGGCCGGGCGCAGTGGCTCAAGCCTGTAATCCCAGCACTTTGGGAGGCCGAGGTGGGTGGATCACGAGGTCAAGAGATCGAGACCATCCTGATCAACATGGTGAAACCCCGTCTCTACTAAAAATACAAAAAATTAGCTGGGCATGGTGGCACGTGCCTACAATCCCAGCTACTCAGGAGGCTGAGGCAGGAGAATTGCCTGAACCCGGGAGGCGGAGGTTGCGGTGAGCCGAGATCGCTCCATTGCACTCCAGCCTGGGTAACAAGAGCGAAACTCCATCTCAAAAAAAAAAAAAAAAAAAAAAAGAATATTCAGTATAAATTTTGAGTATAATTTTGTGGATACTTTATAAAGAATTAACATAAAAACTTGCTACTTGCTCTGCTTTTGTACCCCCACGTCCATATAAAGACTACTGAATCTGAATTTCATTGCCAACAATCAAAATTAAAACTTGGAAACCAATTACCTCCATATTCAGCCCACCTCTCCTACTCCGTGTTGGATTTACCCACTTCCCTTTATTATTTGTCTTCCATTTAGCTATAGATTTTCTTTTAGAATGAGTGTCTTTCATCAGTGTTTTTTTTTTTTTTTTTACAATGTATGCATTTGATAAAGGTGGAAATAAATAGTTAAAATTATAAATAAAGGATATGTTTAACTGTTTAAAAAAAGATGAAGACAGTAGACAGTTTTATCTTTTTAAATTTTTTTCTGAGACGAAGCCTCGTTTGCCACCCAGGCTGAAGTGCAGTGGTGTGATCTCAGCTCACTGCAACCTCCACCTCCTGGGCTCAAGTGATTCTGTCTTACTTAACCTCCCAAGTAGCTGGGATTATAGGCGTGTGTCTTCATGCCTGGGTAATTTTTGTATTTTTGATATAGATGGGGTTTCACCGTTTTGGCCAGGTTGGTCTCGAACTCCAGATGTCAGGTGATTCGCCTGCCTCTGCCTCCCAAAGTGCTGGGATTATAGGCGCCAGCCACCGTGCCTGGCCCAATTTTATCTTTTAATCAGTTACATACATTTATTTATACTAGATGAACTTTGCTCATTTTTATTAAACTTTTGAGAGTTTTGTATCACAATGACTTTGTCAGTATGAAGCACTATGAGTACTTTTTATTTTTAGAAGATACTTTAGTGATTATATACATTTGTGTGTATCATCTTCATAGCTTCCAAAGTTTACTCATTAATCTTGTCAAGATTTTTTTCTTTAAAAACTATTGTTGGTAGCCGGGCGCGGTGGCTCAAGCCTGTAATCCTAGCACTTTGGGAGGCCGAGGCGGGTGGATCACGAGGTCAAGAGATCGAGACCATCCTGGTCAACATGGTGAAACCCCGTCTCTACTAAAAATACAAAAAACATTAGCTGGGCATGGTGGCGCGTGCCTGTAATCCCAGCTACTCAGGAGGTTTAGGTAGGAGAATTGCCTGAACCCAGGAGGCGGAGGTTGCGGTGAGCCGAGATCGCGCCATTGCACTCCAGCCTGGGTAGCAAGAGTGAAACTCCGTCTCAAAAAACAAAAAAAACAAAAAAACAAAGAAAAACACTATCGTTGGTGTATTTGAACTTCCTCGGGCTTTACCTTATAGATGTATTTAAATATAGCAGTCAGTGCTTTCAGTGTTGATTTCTGTGAGATGCTACTGTTGCAGTTTTTAAAATGCTGTTAATTTCTTTAATGTGAATATTGGGGGCATTCTTTGACTATATTTGCAATTATAGTTACTAATTATCCAATATAGCTGAAGAATGCGTTCTGTGAGTATATAGTAACACATGAATTTTCCAATTTTAAATACAGTCAGCCCTCTGTATCTGCAGTGCCTACATTTATGGATTCAGTCAGTTGTGGATCAAAAATTCAGTCATTTCTAGGTATCTGTGGGAGATTGGTTTCAGAACCCCTATGGATAACGAAATCTGCAGATGCTCAAGAACCTTATATAAAGTGGTATAGTAGTTGCATGTAACCTATGCGCATCCTCCTATATACTTTATATCATCTCTGGGTTACTTATAATACCGAATACAGTGTAAAATGTTATGTATATGGTTATACTTACTGTATTGTTTAGGTAATAGTGACAAAATGTCTGTACGTGTTCAATACAGATGGAACTATTGATTTCTTTTGCCCAGCTATTTTCAATCTGTGAATGGTTAAATCCACAGATGTAGAACCCACTGGTAGGAAGGGCTGATTGTGTTGGAAAAACAAATAACAATACAACAATAAAAAATGATACAAATAAAAAAGCAACATAGTCTGCCAAGGACTGTACTGTAAAATACACTTAACATCCAGTGTATTTGAAAAATGGTTTTGTGATTTTCTTTTAAAAAGTGAGAGGTGAGTTTTTTGGTTTTTAAGTCCAAGCTTTACTGGCTTTGACAGAATTATTAATTTAAATGTAACCTCTGTTACATTATATTTAGTTCTTAAGTTATTTTAGTCTTATCAGAGAATCATTTCCAAAGAGAATTATGTTAAGTTAACTTTCTTACAGATAGTCGATAGTCACAAGAGTTGGATAGGTATACCACGGGTAACTTAATAGTAAAACAAGTAGCTTAGTAATAAAGTATCTGTTTTCAGTGATAAGCCTTTTCAAAAATAGTTTATTTAAAATTAGTTCCAGTTAGGATCTATGATGTTATTGTCACACATTCATGAATGGATAAGCAGCCACGAAATAGTGGCAAGTGTGTAACAATAGAAGAAATGGGTTAAGAACTTTACTCCTAGGAACTTTGAATAAGAATGTCTGTATAAATTAGGCCGGGCGCGGTGGCTCAAGCCTGTAATCCCAGCACTTTGGGAGGCCGAGGCGGGTGGATCACGAGGTCAAGAGATCGAGACCATCCTGGTCAACATGGTGAAACCCCGTCTCTACTAAAAAAAAATATAGCTGGGCATGGTGGTGCGTGCCTGTTATCCCAGCTACTCAGGAGGCTGAGGCAGGAGAATTGCCTGAACCCAGGAGGTGGAGGTTGCGGTGAGCCGAGATCGCGCCATTGCACTCCAGCCTGGGTAACATGAGTGAAACTCTGTCTCAAAAAAAAAAAAAAAAAAGAATGTCTGTATAAATTAAATAATCAACCTTCAAAATGGTATTGACCCTTGAAAGGTAATACCAGTTATACTGACAATATTAGTGAATTTTTTTCACTTTGCATAATTCTACAGATTGTGAAGCTCTGTACAGTGCTTTAAAATCACAACTAAATCACATTTTGGTGGCTGAGGCAGGAAGATTGCTTGAGCCCAGGAGTTCAAGACCAGCCTGGGCAACATGGTGAAATCCCCATCTCTACAGAAAATACAAAAAATTAGCGGGTCTGGTGTTGAACACCTGTTGTCTCAGTTACTCTGGGAGCTGAGATGGGAGGATTGCTTGAGCCTCAGGTGTTGGATGTTGCAGTGAGCTGAGATTGCGCTGCTGCATTTCTGCTTGAGTCACAGAGTGAGACTGTTTCAAAAATAAAGAAGAATAAAAGCACACCTAAATCAAAAATCGAAAATCTAGTTTTAGACTTTTTTTTTGCATAAGAAACTTAATTCAAAGGAAATAAGTATTTAAAATACTTTAAAGTATTTTATTTTTATATTGTCTAGTAACAAATTTGAGCTTTTTTTTCTTTTTTCTTTTTTTTTTTAAATATTTATTTATTTATTTTAAGACGGGGTTTCACCATGTTGGTCAGGCTGGTCTTGAACTCCTGACCTCAGATGATCCACCCACCTTGGCCTCCAAAGTGCTTGGATTACAGGCATGAGCCACTACGTCCAGCCTTTTTTTCCTTTAATGAAATTTGATGCCGTGATTTTTGGCACTTCACTAAATGATGGGTATAATGAAGGGTGATTTAATTGCAATAATTCTGGAAAATTCACATGAACTATTTATCAATTAAAAAATGTCTATAATATAGGTTTATTGTGTCAGATTTGGGGGAAAGGTGAGTATAAAGAAAAAATGTCTGTTATTCCACCAATAAGAAACTATGATAAGGAATTTGTTTTATTTCTTTTTTGAAATGAACAAGGCAAAGCAAAACAGAAAGAAATTTGCATCATGCTATAGACATCTTGAATCTTCTCAGAATGTGAGCATTTCTCCACTTTTTCCTTAATGGAAGTACAAAATCTAATGGCTGAACTGGCCCTATCATAGATAAGCTACAATTTAATTCCTCTGTTATTTGACAGAGTTTTCTAGTTTATTTAATCCTTGCATGTAAGTGATTGAATACATTGATTGGTTAAAGTACAGAAGGCTATGTAAATGGCAATTTTGTGTTCACAAAGTTTATATAATAGCCTTCTGTAGAAATTATGGTATTTTTAAATTTGTGCCGGAGGACCTGGCTCTTCAAACAAAAGTAATACTCATACCTCCACTTGTCCCTGAAAAAAGCCCTATATGTTATTTTGTAAGAAATATTTAGAGATGTGAATACTCATCAGCAAATTTTTCTGTTGATAAAATCAAATTTGAAATTTTAATTTTTTAATCTAGAATAGGTACATCTTTTTTTCATTTACTTATAACTTTTTGATTTCAGTCTTTCAGATGTCTTTTTTTGCCCTCTTAAGGGGACATTTCGCTACTGATTATGATATTTTGTTTTGCAGAGTAACAGCTATCCACCAATGTCAGATCCATACATGCCTAGTTACTATGCTCCATCCATTGGATTTCCATATTCTCTTGGGGAAGCAGCGTGGTCCACGGCTGGAGACCAGCCTATGCCATATCTGACAACCTATGGACAAATGAGTAATGGAGAACATCACTATATACCAGATGGTGTGTTTAGTCAACCTGGGGCATTAGGAAATACCCCTCCATTTCTTGGTCAACATGGATTTAACTTTTTTCCTGGTAATGCTGATTTCTCTACATGGGGGACAAGTGGATCTCAGGGACAATCAACACAAAGTTCTGCTTATAGTAGCAGTTATGGCTATCCACCTAGTTCTCTTGGGAGAGCTATTACTGATGGACAGGCTGGATTTGGCAATGATACTTTGAGTAAGGTGCCTGGCATTAGCAGTATTGAGCAAGGCATGACTGGACTGAAAATTGGTGGTGACTTGACAGCTGCAGTGACAAAAACTGTAGGTACAGCTTTGAGCAGCAGTGGTATGACTAGCATTGCAGCCAATAGTGTGCCCCCAGTTAGTAGTGCAGCACCTAAACCAACCTCCTGGGCTGCGATTGCCAGAAAGCCTGCCAAACCTCAACCGAAACTTAAACCCAAGGGCAATGTGGGAATTGGGGGTTCTGCTGTTCCACCACCTCCTATAAAACACAACATGAATATTGGAACTTGGGATGAAAAAGGGTCAGTGGTAAAGGCTCCACCAACCCAACCAGTTCTGCCTCCTCAAACTATAATCCAGCAGCCTCAGCCATTAATTCAACCACCACCATTGGTGCAAAGCCAACTGCCTCAACAGCAGCCTCAACCACCACAACCACAGCAGCAACAAGGACCTCAGCCACAGGCCCAGCCTCACCAAGTGCAGCCTCAACAGCAGCAGCTGCAGAATCGCTGGGTAGCTCCTCGGAACAGGGGAGCAGGCTTCAACCAGAACAATGGAGCGGGCAGTGAAAACTTTGGTTTAGGTGTTGTACCTGTCAGTGCTTCACCTTCTAGTGTAGAAGTGCATCCTGTGCTGGAAAAGCTAAAGGCCATAAACAACTATAATCCCAAAGACTTTGATTGGAATCTGAAGAATGGACGTGTGTTTATAATTAAAAGCTACTCTGAGGATGACATACATCGTTCCATTAAATACTCTATCTGGTGTAGTACTGAGCATGGTAATAAGCGTTTGGATGCAGCTTACCGTTCCCTGAATGGGAAAGGCCCACTCTATTTACTCTTCAGTGTGAATGGCAGTGGACATTTTTGTGGAGTGGCTGAAATGAAGTCTGTTGTGGACTATAATGCGTATGCTGGTGTCTGGTCTCAGGATAAGTGGAAGGGCAAATTTGAAGTTAAATGGATCTTTGTCAAAGATGTTCCCAATAACCAATTACGGCATATTCGCTTAGAAAATAATGACAACAAACCGGTTACCAATTCAAGGGACACTCAAGAGGTACCCCTAGAAAAAGCTAAGCAAGTGCTTAAAATAATTGCTACTTTCAAGCATACCACCTCAATCTTTGATGACTTTGCACATTACGAAAAGCGTCAAGAAGAGGAGGAAGCCATGCGTAGGGTAAGAATATAGTAATTGTTTTGTCTGGGGTCCTTGTATTGCCGGTGGGGTGCATGGATGGGTCTTCTTTAATGCCTCTTAGTATGCCGAGTTTAAGAACTTTCTGTGAAATAAACCAACTACTTAATCCTACAAACACACTTGAAGGTGTCTGTGTGTGCCATATACGAACCATTTCTGCTTTCCTTCCCCAGGGTAACCCTTACACTGAATTTGCCTCTTGCTCATTCTTCATACTCCCTAGATGATAAAGGCCATTGGGCCTTGATGTTTATCAAAGCTGGTATTTTGGCATTTGTAATTAAACAGACTTTATGAGCTAACCAGGGGCTCTAATTATTAATATTATTAATCATACTAACATAGGAGAAAATGTATTGAGAGTTTGAACCAAACAACTTTTTTATTTTTTTATTTTTTATTTTTTATTTATTTTTTTTTTTTGAGATGGAGTTTCGCTCTTTACCCAGGCTGGAGTGCAATGGCGCGATCTCGGCTCACCGCAACCTCCGCCTCCCGGGTTCAGGCAATTCTCCTGCCTCAGCCTCCTGAGTAGCTGGGATTACAGGCACACGCCACCATGCCCAGCTAATTTTTTTGTAGTTTTTAGTAGAGACGGGGTTTCACCATGTTGACCAGGATGGTCTCGATCTCTTGACCTCGTGATCCACCCGCCTCGGCCTCCCAAAGTGCTGGGATTACAGGCGTGAGCCACCGCGCCCGGCCAACTTTTTTATTTTTGAGATGACGTTGTGCCGTGCTGCCCAGGCTGGAGTGCAGTGGCTATTCACCAGTGCAATCATGGCATACAGCCTCAAATTCTGAGCCCCCAGCAATCCGCCTGCCTCAGACTCCCAGGTAGCTGGGACTACAGACATGTGCCACTGAACCTGGCACTTGAAACAATTTTTATTTATTTTATATCTTATTTTTTTGAGAAAGGGTCTCTCTTGCCCGGGCTGGTGTGTACTGGTGTGAACATGACTCACTGCAGCCTTTTTCTCCTGGGCTCAAGCGATCCACGCCTCGCTAATTTTTGTTTTTTTATATAGATGGGGATTTTGCCATGTTGCCCAGGCTGGTCTCCTGAGCTCAAGGGATCTGTCCCCACCCCTCCGCCTCCCAAAATGTTATGATTACAGGCATGAGCCACTGCACCCAGCTTAAACAACTTTTTTTTTTTTTAAATTTATATCACTCAGGAAAATGTTATGTTGAATGAAACAACTTTTAAATAAATGTTTTATTCTAATGTGTATATGAGAAATAAAATAGATTTTTTAAAACAAACTCTTCAAGTATTTTTATGTTTAAGCACTTGTACAAAATTTAGGCTCTGCAGAATTTGATTCCTAATTCTGTTATATACCCTCTGTAAGACTGAGGAAGACATTCCTGAAATAAAGCATGCTGATTATCTTTCCATTGTATTGGCCAGACTTTTTTTGTTTTTTTTTTTTTTTAAGATATCCTATTGAGTGGCCCATATGGGGATCAGCTCCCCAAATCAAATTGGCCAGACTTTGATCACAGGAGCCATAAGAATAAGGCCGAGTGGGGACTCTTCTGTTCCAAACTGTAACATAATATAGGGGTCCTATATTAGGTAGAAAGAGAAAATGTATGGGCTTTTCCATAGGGGATACATTTAAATTTCTTTTGAAACTTAGTAGTTCTAATTTAGTAAAGTTAGAAGCTCCTCCAATAAATAATGCTTGTTACTATGAAAAAGATGTTCTTATGGAATGCTTGTTCCTATGTAGACATTAAGATAAAGAGGTAACTTAACTCTCTGTATGTAAAATATCAGTGATTTGTTTCTGTGTGTGAAGCTAAATATCTTGTCCTCTTGGTTGTGTGCAGCAGAGGGAAGTACCTCAGCATTCCTGGCGGGGGTGGGGGTGGGGGAAGAAGGAGTTGGAATAATGACCTTAGAACAGTAATTTCCAAACCTTAAGGCACATAAGTATTAATTGGGGTGTTTATTGGAATTGCAGACTCTTGAGACCCATCCCTTGACATATTTGATAAAGGACCTTGTAGTGTATTTATTTTTTTGAATATAAACACCTCAGGTGATTCTGGTGCTAGTGATTGATTGCTGTGTTGAATTGTTAGAAACTTTGTTTTGGAGAAATTAGTACAAATGACTTTCAGACTCTGCTGAAACTTTTTAGATGGGTTGCTGAATTGTGTTTTCTCCCACTTAAGTGTGGGAAATAAGAGAAATGGGATCAAAAGTAGCGACTGAATTTTTCAGTTTAGCAGTCATGTAAGTGGTCATATTGTAACCACCATTACAAATAGCGCATCAGGAGAAATGATTTGGGTCATGAAAGGTGGTATGCAAGTTAAGACTTAATTTTTGGGTTGTATGATTTTAAGATACCTTTTAGAAATATAGGCAGCAAAATCTCTGATTAGGCAATTAGATGTGGGAGTCACAGATTTGGGGGCCTTTTGTTCTTTTTTTTTTTTTTTTTTTTTTTTTTTTTTTTTTTTTTGAGATGGAGTTTCACTCATGTTACCCAGGCTGGAGTGCAATGGCGCGATCTCGGCTCACCGCAACCTCCGCCTCCTGGGTTCAGGCAATTCTCCTGCCTCAGCCTCCTGAGTAGCTGGGACTACAGGCACGCGCCACCATGCCCAGCTAATTTTTTGTAGTTTTAGTAGAGACGGGGTTTCACCATGTTGACCAGGATGGTCTCGATCTCTTGACCTCGTGATCCACCCGCCTCGGCCTCCCAAAGTGCTGGGATTACAGGCGTGAGCCACCGCGCCTGGCTGAATATTGTTTTCTTTAATTCTTTGTCTGCAGGCCACTTTTTTCCATTAATGTCAACAAATAATGTTGAATCTTTGTCTTTGAGTGCTGTTGGTTCTTGATTCTTTTTCTCTTCATTTGGATGATTTGAATTTTCCTGCTGTCTTATTTTTCATGTGCATTTGATTTGTGGTGTTTCTGTGATTTGTGAGGTTTTGCATTCTTCAGTGATAGTATTTGTTTGCTTCTGTTAGCACATTCAACTCTCCCTCCTAACTCAGTTTTCTTAATGGAATCCCTTGATCCTAGAGTTCATCTTAATTTTATTGTGCACAAAGGACTGTGTTTAAAACTAATGTTTGCTTTCTGTACTTATTTTTAGAAACGTATTTTATATCTTTTTTTCTTCTAAAAAATTACATGTAATAAAATTGTAAATTTCCTTGACCTGTCTGTTTTTAGTCAAGCCCTCTCTCTCCCTCTTATTACTGAACCACTGATTGGTTCTTTGTCCCTATAAGACATTTTCCATATTGTCGTAATTGGAATATGTACTATATAATCTTTTAAGACTTGTATCTTTTACTCAGTGTGGTATCTTTGCAATTCATCTATGTCATTGTATAGCTCAATTCTTTGTTCCTTTTTATTACTAGTTTTTTATTATGTGGATGGACCACTGTGTTTATTACATTTATCATTTGAAGGATATTTGGGGTGTTTCCCATTTGGGGGTGATGTAAATGAGGCTCCTGTAAGAATTTGTGTATACATAAAATATGTATATTTTTAAATCATACAGTAAAATTCATTTTTGAGGCGTGTACAACTCTATGAATTTTAACATGTAGATTTGTGTAACCACCATGTCAGTTAGGATACAGAACAGTTTCATCATCCCCAAAACCCTCCCTTACATACTTGGCTTTTATTTTTCCATCCTTCCCCTATGCCTAAGCCCTGGCAGCCTCTCATCTGGACTCTCGTGGTTGAGGGGAGGCTTCAGTACTCTCTTTGGGCTTTCTCCATTTAATCATTGAACCAGGAAGTGGATCGTTCAGTTCAGTTATTTGCTTCAAAATGGCTACTTTTACCTTCCCTCACCCCATTTCTTCCATTACTGGGTGCTAGTTGCTTATACCTTTTCCTCTGCAAATGTAGAGATGGGAGAGTCATGCTGTAAGTTGATTTTACCAGTTAAGTGATTCACCAGCCTGCGGAGATTTTACAGGGAAAGCCAGTATAATGAGTTGTGCTAGGCATTTAACTTAAGAAATTCTTAAGTTTGAAACTGCTATGTTAGGAACCAGCTTTCCTTGCATGTTAGCTGGTTAGTGTATATGGTACCGTGTGTTTTTGTCCAGCTTCTTCTTTGTGCTTTTAGCCCTTGTACAGGCAGAATTTGTAGATTTTCATTTGTAGATTTTCTCTTTGTTACACTTGTGCTTACATTTGGGCTTCCCAGCATAAGTGCTTTCAAATACTTTTGTCATTTCAGTGATGAAGGGAGGATGTGCTGCTTGTCTATTGTAGGTCCTTCTTGATTTCATTGAAAAGAACAAATTAGTGGTATTTTGCTAGGATTTTTTTTTTCTACTTATGCCTCTATTTTTTTTTAAATAAAAGTATTTGCAAGTCATTATTAGTGTCCGGTTTTAATATAGACTCATCTGTCATTTATTTAGCTGAAATTTCTCAAAGCCTCTGATATGTGGATGTACTGTATCCCTAGGTACATATCTTGGAGACCTTGGGTAAAGGTTGGGTTTCTTAAACAAGACACAGGCAGCACTAATTTTAAGAGATTGGTAAATTTGGTTAGATTAAAATCTGTTTATCAAAAGATGCTTTAAAGAAAGTTTAAGAGGCCTGGCTGGGTGTGGTGGCTCACGTCTGTAATCCCAACATTTTGGGAGGCTCAGATGCGAGGATCGCTTGAGGTCAGGAATTTGATACCAGCCTGGCCAATTTGGTGAAACTCTGTCTCTACTAAAAACACAAAAATTAGCCAGGCGTGGTGGTGCGCACCTGTAGTCTCAGCTACTTGGGAAGCTGAGGCAGGAGAATTGCTTGAACCCCAGACTGTAGATTGTAGTGAGCTGAGATTGCGTCACTGCACTCTAGCCTGGGTGACAGAGCTAGACTCGGTCGAACAAAACAAAACAGAAGAAGCCATGTTTTTTAAAAGGCTAAAATAAATTTGAACATAACTGACTAAAGATTTCTGTCAAGAGTA